GGGATACCCTAACACACCAAAGGCCCCGGCCGAGCCAGAAAACAGGCGTCTGATCGATTATCTACGCTTATACGCCTTTGTCTTCCCGATACGCCAGCACAAAGACCTCATTTTAGTGCAGGCTTGCAGTCCCTGCCTGTGGAATGTGGGCAGCGTCAGGTGTCTGTGATGGTGAGGCTCGCACCTGAGACCTTGCGTCCACTTTGGAGGGCTGGTGATGCCTCCCTCTCCTGACATACTGAACATCCTCCTCTTCTTCAGTGAGGTCCCTCAGACCCCCTGGGCTATGAGGGTAGGTCTGCCCCCTCTTCTCACTTACAATCCTCTTGCCCTGCAATCAAGGAAGCACACTGTCAATCTATCTGGTCCTGAGATGGAGAGCCTCTCTATTTCTTATGGATCTCATAGATATACTGCATGGGAAAAGCTTTCCGACTGGTGAGAGTAACTTCTGCAGTGACCCACTATCGTCACTGAAAAAAGTGTTATCAAACAGTACTATAGGCCAATTTACAATATGTGATATTGTGATAAACCAAAACAAAATAATTGTGTACTTTTCTGCTTTTCTTTATAGGAAAAATGAGGTGATTCCTCTCCAGCCATATTACTTGCCTTAGTGTTGCCAGTCATTGTGACTAGCAGCTGCCTCCGCTTGCCCCGTCCCATGCTGAACGGGTTTGCATCCGCCTCCGAGGGCTCCTGGTTCCCCCTGGGGCTAGGCGGCTCCCCACTCCCCGGCTTCTTGGTCACAACACGGGCCTCCTGTTCCAGCACACATAAAGAGGGGAGGATAAAATTCTGGAGCAGAGTGACCCATCTTAAATCCAAGACACATCTCATTGCTGATGGCTGTGGGTGGAGAGGCAGAGAGTACATTTGGGTCCCTGGGTGGAGACCATGAATCATGGAAAGAGCAGCAATCTCTGCTGCTTTATTCCCAACATTAAATTTAACTAGTACACTATGACATCACTCGTAACCAACAGGCGGTGAGGTGAGGCGACATCTGTGCCATCATCTGTTTTACAGAGAGGTGAAAGAGAACGTCTCCACCTGGTGGTGGGAGGGATACATACGCTGGTGGACTTGTTGATGGTGATTGTCAGGTCCTCTGCTTTGCCCTTGCGGCTCTGCATGGCCATGCCCTCCTGCTCCGCCCTCTTCTTATCCTCCTCAACTTCCTGCGAAGGACAAACCAGTCCAGGGGGCAAATACAAGACGAGATATTCAAAGCGCATTAGGTCCAAAGAATGAACAACAAACAGGAGCAGGTTTACAGTTAACCATCCTAACAAGATATTCAAAAGTAAACTGCTATGAGGCTGGTGCTCCTAAATAGCTCAGTTTTCAGTGTGCTCCGTGTGGAAATCGACATGAATAAAGCCTGACAATACTGAACTGTGCAGTGAAAATAGAACATATTGGAATCAAGATGGAATCAGGAGGAGAGCTATGGCAGCGAGTCAAATAAATAATACTGAATCCTTTGTACTGACTTTCTGAGCTTACAACAGATGAGGTATATTTTACAAAAAATTATATATTATACTGAATTCAGCTTACAGGAACCTCAGATATAAAAATCAATTACATACAATGATCAGAATCATCACACCAAAAGTTCATATGAAATTTAAACACTGATGATCAGTAGCTATATTCTTTTCTAATAAAATTAAGATCTACTGATCAAAACAAGGTCTATCCTCTTTTCTGTCCAGAGAGTGTGCAATAGTCAGCCAGTTCAGTCAGTTTTTTTAATTATCGATTGATTGCTTGCCGCTATCAGCACATCAGATGTGCTGCGCACAAGGCTTTTTCTGCTCTTTATGTCCATATAAAATGCTCCATTTATCAGCATCGAACCACCGGGCAACTCAATGTGTGGAGCCCACAACAATATTGATCTGCAGACAGGCACGATGCAGTTATTTACATCTGTTTCCACCTTGTCCGCACACCAAAGACAGCACTGGTAAACAGTCTTAAATAAAGCCTCCAGTAAAGGTCCTGATTTTTCCATATTGTATGCCACAGAAGGAAGGGGCGAGTGTGGGGAGCAGGACCCACGGCCTCTCACCTGGTACCTCTTCATGAGGGCCTCGTTCTTCTTCCGCAGGGCCTCGATCTTCTTGTCCAGCTCCGCGTCCTTCTGCTCCTTCTTTCTGAACATGACATCTGTAGGGCTCTGCAAACCATGGTGCAGAGAAATGACACGTTGGCACGGGATGCACGAGGACCGGCGGGCAGCACCGGACCGGCCATCGTCACCTTACACGCCTGCAATGCTTTAGGTCAGCAGTGCAACAACGAAGGATAAATGCATAAATATCATACACAAATACACACAACACAAATATATCAATAGAAAAACCTGAGGACTTGTACCTCCTTATTGCATCTAACTTGTTTCTATGCACCTTCATATATCTAAGGAACTTTCCCCCACAGTCAATATTTCTCCCCTTATGCACGAATAAAGCAGTGTTTTTTTAAACTGAAAGGAAGTATTTAATTATCATAGGCAGCAGTTCCACCAGCTGATCTTCTATGCCCCTTGAGTGAAGTAAGGGACTTACTTACTTACTACACTTCTTACCTCATTCAGAAATTATCCCACATAGAACACTTTCCTTCCCTGTTGTAGAAAAAGCCTTAGAGGCAAATTACATAAGTTACCTCAATTATGATAACAATACTTATTATACAGGCAAAAGGGATTGTACCTTATATTGAAGCTGCTTTATGACAGTGCAGTCCTGAAATCGAGCCTTTTTAAATAACCCACTCTATTTTGCACAGTAAATAGGTCTGTCCCACTGTGATTCCAGTTTAATAAATTCCTCACATTCAAAACACCACTATCAATGAATAATGACAAGATTTTGTTTCACACTCTATGCTTGCAAAATGCGAATGGGCAGCATTCTTGAGTGAAACACAAATCCACCTTAATTCACCCTGCAAGGAAATTTTTAACAAGAGAGAAAAGCTAATGTCAGAACACCCACTACTTTGGCTAGTAGACCCTGACACGTTCATTCCAAAATCTAACACAACCGATTTATCAATGGGTAGAAATCTGGTGAATTGTGTGATTTAAATCTTCCGCAGGAACTATTTTTCTAACAGGAAAATTACTAGTACCTGGAATGTTAATTCTGTGTGGGCACTGACCTTTCACCCCCTCAGTTTCAGCTGACCGGCCTTACAATCTTACAGACGGACAGTCTCTCGGGTCAGTTACCATGGCGGAACACTAGTGCCTAGCATCTGAAAAATCCTGATGATGTCAGCACTGCAGCTCGGAGAAGCACGCTCCCTTGGACCACCTCACGCTTCTCGTTAAAGCCCCGAAGAGCTCTCACATGTCCGCCACAGGGCTCATTACCGGCTTTTAAACAGAAGATCACACTCATGTGAGGAGGCTCAGAAGCCTTTTCGTATTCGGTGAGCAGGGGTGTATTCATGTCTGTTGAGGTTATCTGAACCCGAGAGCTAGCCTACAAGCTAACATTAGCCTCTCGCGCTAAAAACAGAGCAGTCTATAATTAGCCCACAAGGAAGTGATTCACCATGACATCATTTATGAGTCTGAACAGTAGAGTGGGACCTACCCTGTTACACACAGTTCAGGCCAAATCTCATGGCCGTGAATCTCCAGCTCCAGGCCTGGTGTGGCACTGTCCGTACCATCTATTGCTCCAACCCCACTGCTTTGATCACTCCATTTTATTTCCAATCCCCAAGGTACCAGGCAATTCATTATATGATAGCCAAGCCTCTCAACATTGATTTTTGCCGTCCAGTCCATAAACACTCCTGCACAAAAGCTATGTGAACATTCAAAACTAGATCATTTAATTTGCACTTGACACCAGACTGCTCCATGCCTGAAGGCTGGAACTCCAGAGAAAGGTTACCATGATGGCAGAAACATTCAGTGTTACTCCTACCGCCAACTGCAAATGCAATCTTTTATTATATACGAATATCTTACTGTGCTTTAATTATCTAACCATCCACATAATCAAATGACCCTTAAACTTAATCACAACAAAATGAACTGTTACTGTTCAGTTAATTCACAGCATTGGGAGGACCCACTAGGATCCAGAGGCTGGAACTCACACAGCTAAGATCACTGTATTACAATGCATTTGTGTACAACCCAATAGAGTAATCAATGCTAGGGAACACTTCCTGGTGTCCAGCTTGGTAACAGAGCCATGGGAAACTTCACACGGCCTTACCCTGCGCGCAACGTCCCGCCCGCCTGCTGTGGTACCCACAACTTCGAGCTGCCACATTCCTGTTAGCCCCCCTCGACAGCGGCCTGCATGGGCCCCGGGATGCATTGGAAATGCTGTCCCTTTAAACGGCCACGGGGCGAACTAAAGGGCACATATCTGACATGCTTCGGGGAATGAAGACCTGCCCCGCGCACTGGTCAGAGCACGCCACGCGCCTCAGGGGCTCTTGGGAGCGTGCTGGGGCGGTGCGGCAGGACGGGGGGAGGCCGGGGGCCCCTGTACCAATGAGCGGTGCGGTGGTGTGACAATGTCAAAATGCGGCAGCGTCTGACGAATGAAAACAAGCATGGCTGCCATCAACGCTGATTCAAAGACCTCAGAGACCGCTGTGAGAGGGGCGTTTTGTGCTTGTTCCTCTTTAAGCAGCCCTGTTTGGAAATGCCACCTGCACATAAGGCTGGTCTCACTGTGACAACCTCTGCATTCGTACAGGAATGCTAAAGTGAGACGAATGCAATCCTCCGATATGTTCACACGCTGCCAACGGCTATTTTTCATACTAAAAGGCCCACAGCACACAACACACTGATTCAGAGAATAGGCGCACCACCACTGATGTCATCTGAGCAACTCGTAGACACTTCTCAAGTTACAGGTGAGAAAAGGAGATCCTGCCAACACAATCACCCACCACCCAGCTGGATCCATGCCAATATATCCATCCCAGGCCCCCGGTCACCACAACAACGCAGCCGGGGTCGAACCCGGGGCGTGTGGCTCCGCCTGCACTCGAGACCAGCGCCTTACCCACTGAGCCACCTGGGAGCCGACGAGCAGAAGGCTTTTAAACTCTCCCTCATGCACTTCTAATCCGCAGCGCTTCTGGAGAAATGCTGTGACAGCGGCAGGATCAGGGCGCTGCCTTCGAGGCAAATGTGCATGTGCAGAAGGGGACAGAGCGGCGTCTTTCATACCGCACATCCAACGCCATGCACTCCACGCAGCTGATGCAGGGATAAAAACGCCACGTTGACTTCAGTCGCGCTCCCACGCAGGCAGGTGTCAGATCTGAGGAGGCAAACACTTTCAACTCGCTCTACTGAGCCAGGCCATACAATGCTCCCGGCGCTCGTGGGGAACGTACAGACAAGATTCCTCAAGTGCACAAGATTCTCTCATCTCTGCGCACGAAGCACCAACTACAAACCGATACGACACGCGTGCATGGCGAAGGATACTGAGATGACAAATGACATAGCTCAAAGGCTGCTGTCAAACCTCATGTGTATCATGAAGGTTAACAATAAAGCCCCAATAATCCTCCTTTGCTAACAGCCAAAGCAATATGGTCTTTACGGTAAAGGCCCAGTTTGCAGCAAAATGACCTGGTCCCCAGAGCTATGCATGCTGTTATGCTGTGAGTACAATCTGCTTCCACATCACAGATATATCTCTATGAGCACTCTCTGCTGGAAGAAAATGAGGGTATATTTTCAGGTTCAATTGAGGTTAAAATTAAACTAAGGTTAAATTTTAATAAATAAATTTAGACAATCCCAAAGCTTCTCATCATTAGGACAGAGATGCCAGAGAGCACATGGTCATCAGCGGAAGCCTTACAACTATGTTCCACTCTTCCGAGTATTCCACCAAAGAAGCGCAATCCACCATACAAACGACTTGCCTCCTTTCTCTTAGCAGAACTCCACCGCTACATCCCGCGAGCTGGCAGCGCCATTCCGAGAGCGAGACGCCAGCCCACGGCTCAGACGCAGGCAGATGCTACATAAGCGGAGGGAGCCGCCACGAGGGAAGCCCCCGCCGGCAGGCACGGCGGGCCGCCGGGCACGAGCCGGGCACAGCCCCGCGCGGCCGCGGGTTTAAAAGGGACCATCTGCGCCACGAGGCAGACGGCCGGGACCGCCCGACGGGAGGGGAGGGGAGGGGACACAGCGAGGCTGCCACTCACGCGCCGTCGCCGCAAGCGACGACAAAAGAGTATCCCCGCCGGGTGGAGGGATACCGTCCATGTGTCGCTCGGCACAAAGCGGGACAGTGATTCATCTACGGGCCGGATTCAGATCCTTCCACGCGGCTCCACGCTGCTGTTTTCAAAAGGGCTGCCATCGGTTTGAGTTCTGCGGCATGGAAATGACACTGTCTGGTATTTTGGATTTGGACCATCTGAGCTGGTTTGCGGTGTCATTTTTTACAAACCCCAAAGATGGGAGGAGATCAAACACAGTAGAGAACTACTGGTACTATGCACTATCAAAATATATATTCAGAATCAACAACATAGTATTGTTAAAATACTGACTCTGATGGACAGCATTTTGTTTTGAATGTACACTCCAAAACAAGTATTCAACATCAAAAAAATATGCTATGAACAGAACACATCCCCACACACATAACCCAATGCAAATTACATCCAGAAAAGTTGGACTCACAAAGACTGTGTGCTATGCTACGTGACTGAACTAAACTTCGCTTGAGAGTTTCTGCTCACCAGGGTCTCCTACCATTCCAGGCCTTGACACACCGTTTTAGGAAAAAGGAGAGGCGCACCAGGAGGCCAGGCGGAGCACGAGGGGTGCGTGAACATCCGTCAGAGGGGTAAAAGACAGACTGTGTCGTCGGTGCAGAGAGGGACGCAGCAGTGGTGGAGGGGGAGAGAGAGGGGGGGGGCAGAGTGAGAATAGCACCCCTACATAGTTGTGCTCTCTGCAGGATCCCCTGAGAGGCAGGCAGGTCCCGAACCCGAGGCAGCTGGCTCACGCGCACGCAGAGGCTCTGATGGCCGAGGCAGAGGCAGAGGCCGCCGGAGCAACGGCTGGCAGGACCGCTCATCCGAGCCCGCTATCTGACACCCTGCGTCCACGCCGTCAGCGAGACAGCGGCAGGGGGAAAAAGAAGCAGCGCAGGCGAGAACGGCCGGGGCTCTGAGAGCCTGCATCTGGCCCAGCCTCTGTATTCCTTTAAACGGCGACAATCTTTACACAGAGAGGGAAAGAACGAGACAGAGAGGCGGAGAGAGGCAGAGAGGGTGAGAGGGGGAGAGAGAGAGAGGGAGAGGGAGAGGGAGGGAAAGGCACTCACAGGTCTGTGCATTTTGGATGTCATCGGCGAAAGCTGGGCTCCTTCCAAACGCGAGGCAGCCGGGAGAGGCGCGGGGAGCTGCATGGAGTCTGCGATCATGCCTTGATTACAAAAAGCCAAGTTGGGCTGCCAGCCAAGAAGCCTGACAAATGCACAGAGCGCCCCTGCGAACGCATTTCACAGCGCCCGCCCGCTCATTCGCTCGTTCTCTCACGAGCACTTGCTCTCGGTTAAAATTACCCTTCACACCCCCTTCCCCAGCCATTCCCCTCCTCCCTCTGTCCGCCGTTCCCTTACTCACCACTCTGGCTGCCCCCCACCACACCCCCCCTTCACAGGATTTAAAGGGACACTGAGTTACCGTACCACATCAAAACACTGTTTACTCCATGTCGCCACTGAAATTCTGTCTGCTTACACTGAACAGATAAATACAATGATGAATCCACGACTAGCCATAGACCATTCCATATCATCGAATCCTCTTTAAATTCTATTATATTATCAGAATAAACTTAAAATTAGAGAAATGAAAGTATCAAAAGGAGACTTATTCCTCCCAATCAGCTGTAAAATTCACTGATATGCAGAAAAAATGTGTTAATACATAACAAATGAAACTGCAGTGTACACCCATACAAAAGGTTATATCTTAAACAGACAGAAGAAAGCAAAATTACAGTTCCAAGCTGAATAAAAGTACTGCTCTATTTTTTGTTGCTCTATTACCACTTGTCACACTCCAGTATAAAATGTATAAGGTGGAGGTACACACACACACACACACACAAACCCACCCCAAAACACACACACACACACACAAACACACACACACACCATTACCTTAACATTTGTTTTGCCTGTATTTATGAACAGTGTGCATGGGTAGGTGTGTGTGTGTGTGTGTGTGTGTGTGTGTGTGTGTGTGTGTGTGTGTGTGTGTGTGTGTGTGTTTGGGAGGGGTGAGGGGTGGGGGGGCATGCTCTGGTACTGGTGAGGGGTGAAGGGGAACCCTCACTATTTCCCACGATTCCACATGCAGGGCATGCAGTCTTCTCTGGTGGCCCCACATGCTAATGGACTGGGCAGACAAATGGTACAGACTGCTTTCAAAGGCAGAAGGCAAATTTAAAAGCTTGTGACTTGCATACTTGGGAGTCTTCCCAGAGTGCTTCAGGGATACGGACAGGGGCCCCTTTGATGAAGCTTAAGGACTCCATCCCAACGCTCTGTTTCATATTACAGAGCTTTCACATTGCATACATTTCTACGGACTTAATCTTAAGGGTGAAAACACTCTTAATTGAAGCATTTCAAGAATGCATGGAGAGAGGAGAAAAACAAACAGCCAGGATGTACCCTGAAAATGTACTAGGAAACCTGAATATAAATTCCCCTAAATATTGCGATACTTAAACATTAATCAGAGTCTAGTATGGTATAGCATAATATGAAAACACAAAAAGTTAACGTCTCATTTCTGAAGGGGACCACAATAATATATCATGCAGAGGGAGCGTGCTCTTCTTGGTTTCGCTTGGTTGGTTACATCCACTTATCTCATTTGCCACACTAAATTGACATTCTCAAAATAGAGTAAGTTGGAGAATTGCTAGTTGTGCAAATTACAGTAAGCATTTGGTCAAATGCATCCAAGACCCACTTATATCTTAGCAAAGGTTGGACATAACTGCACGGTGGGAAAGGTAAGCTGTGTACTTAGCTACTGTACGTTACCATTTGAGATGCTAGAGCGGCCTCCTCCTCTTCGCTACACATTGTCATATCTTCATATGGGTATGCGTGCTCGTCCATATCTCGGCCTTCGTGGAAAGTGCCACATTTATGACTGGGAAAGGCATGTATGCTTAACACGCTTTACATTCCAGCCTATGTACCTATAGGATCATCAGCGTTACCGAATTCATCACATATATTCAGGTGCCCATAGTTAACTAAGCTAGCTAACAGTAGCTAGTTTTTCCACATACGACCAAAACTATGTAAAGTGATATTCCAACTAATTTTCACACACTACAATAACAAGGTTGGCACCATTCACACTATTTTTGTAATTAGCTAGCTGGTTGACTATAAAACAGTTTTTGCTTGTTTGATTTTCAAATGCAAATAATGTTTTCTTACTGTTGTTTGTTGGCTACCTAGCTAGCTAACGTTAATCAGATCATATTGTGATGCTACCTAACTTTATTAACTGAACCTAACTAGCAATGTGTAACTTCCATGTCACTGATTGAATTTAAAGCCATGAGTCGCATACAACAATCACCTGGAATATAGCAGTAGGCCATGGTGGCAGCCTTTGAATGTGAAACTGTTTTTCTGTCAGGGCGACGGATGAAACTTCGTCTCCCAGATATAAAACATTCTTTATGGAGGGATGTCTAAATATGTCGTGCTTGATTTTTAACGCTAGAGGGAGACGTTCCCTAATTTCTCCACTGCTTTGAAGGAACACAACCCTCTTTCCAAGGTAAAATTGTTGAATACTTGGCGGCAAGATGAAGGGCCAGTAATCCTCCTTCTATCTCCTTCCATTGTGAAGAAGTGCGACTGTATGACAATACTCTTTACTTGTTACTGTCATTAGCTAAATTAAAATATTGTGGATCTTAATTAAAACTGGGTATGAATAGTCAGCACTACTTTAACGAGTTTGGATATCTTTATTCTGGTTAAAGTTCGAGTTTTTTATCCGAGAG